CTCTCTCTTTCTCTCCGTCTTCCATAGAGTGACTCGTACAGTGTGGTGGCGTTGAGCTTCAGGTGACAAAGTATGTGGTTGAACTCTCTGGGTTGTCAATGGGGGGATGGCCAGCGATGGGGTTAAAGGATAATGCAGTACCTCGCGTCGCTTTAATGACGCTAAAGTGCTGGGCTATTACGGGCACACGGACAGGACTGTAATTGTCTCTGAAAGCAGCCAGGTTCTCCTGGTGCTGGGCTGAAATCAATCACTCAGACCCCGGYCTGCCTCGCCTCGCCTCGCCTGCCTCGCCGTGCCTTCCCTGCCATCCCCATTTGGAGAATTACATCATTGAGCAGCGAGGAGTTATCCGCTGGATAAAAGGCTTCTGCTGCTCTGAAAGAGTTTTGATTTTATTTGCAGGGATGTGCGCTTTTGCTGTTGTCTGTCGCCGGAACTGCTGCTGACAAAATGATCGCTCGAGTAAACAGGACACAGTTTGCCCCGGAGTTAACAAGTCTCCGAAGTTGGATTTTTTTTGTTAAATTTTTCTTTTTACAGTCAGATAAAACATATCAGAGTTCACCGGTTTGCCCCAGCTCAGGTTGCACAACAACAACAGCCTGGGATACTTTAGCTTTTCATCTATTACCACTATGTCACTGCCCTCTTTTTCTATATATACAGTGGCACAGTGATAACAATGAAGTGAATAATACTCCCCATACAATGGCTCTTACTATTTCACATGCAGTTACCCCCCCACAACACACACACACACACCTCCCCTCCTGCATGCAGTCTATTGTGTTAAAACACCAGTCTCCTTTTTGCACCCAGTGTGAATGTGAATAGCATCACAGAAGCGCCGCTTCAACCTGCTGTTTGAGTTCCAAACCCCTCCCCGCTTACTTTAGCACAAACACGTTAAAACAGCTTCATCTGGATGTAATATGAGATTTTTTTTTTGTTGTTTTTCTCCTGGTTTTTTTGTTTTGTTTTGAAAAAAAAAATCTTGCAAGTATACAGAGCGTTTGAACTACTTAGTTGCTAATCTTAAAGAAAACGCCCAGAAATATAAACTTTTTCAACCCCTTTATTTTCTGAAGGACTACCAGTGTTGATTCTTGCTCTTAAAC